TTTGAGATTTTGTAATGTCATATATATACGATAAATTCATTGGAACCTCTTCTCCTACAGTTGTAGAAGGTACATTAACTTTATCTATGCCGCCGAAAATAAATACTCTTTCTCTTGAGCGAGAAATTCCAACGGAATTTAAAACAGTCGTCATCTATATGAAGCAATTACTTTATTATGTTTGTTTAATAACAATTAATAGTTAATATAATACCTACATTTTGCACTATCGGCTCCCATTTCCATGGAGTTACTGTCATATTCAACTTATAAATAACACGGAGCGTAGAAGGATGACGCGTTCCACCCCAAATAAGTACAATTCCTGGTTCAATTAAAACAGAACGTGGTTGAAATATTCCCATACCGATAGCGCTAGGATATCCAACTAAATACTGAGCTTCATTCCAAACATTTGATTTAAAATTGTAAACTTGTAATCCTTCATAACCTGGATCTTGTGCCCAAGACCCACCAATAACTAACAACAAACCCATTGAAGGCTCAACAACACATGTCATATCGCAAGTGTTAACTGCATTGGTAGTATTAAGGGCTACCCATGGAATTGAAGATGTTATAAATGGCATTTTTGCAGTATGAAAGAATGAGTTTACTGCCCATGTATTCCATTTAATATGACCACCAAACAAATAGACAGAATTATTATATGTAAAGAGACAGTGGCACTCTCTTACTCCTGGGCTATCACTGACAGCATGATTCATAAATCCGAAAATCAAAGAAATTAGTAAAAATTTATAAAGATCTTTGTGAAATTTTAAGTTTGCAATCATAATGTATAAGTGAGAAACTTCAAGTAGTATGTAGTTAGTAAGACAGTACAATATGGGCAAGATTAAAATTTCATTGTGTATTATTTGTCGCGGATGATCGTGAAATCGGATGGTGAAATCGGATGGTGAAATTTGGGGGTTTCAATTTGAAAATATAAGGTTGCGCAAGCTTCTCAAAAAGTACGAAAAACAAATCAACTACGTACCAAAATTTACTTATACCGGCAAGGTTGGCGATGGAACCAATGGAGCTCGATGGTTATGCTAATGGAGCTCAATGGTTAGGCTAACGGAGCTCAATGGTTATGCTAATGGAGCTCAAAAAACCAGGCCTACCGAAAAATTAATTGCAATTAATTTTTATCATACGTCATACAATTAAAATCAATTAAAATTATCATGA